CAGGGAAGAGTGGAGTGAGAACATGGGAACAACAATGTAGACACCAAGGTCAGTGCAGAAGGAGGGGGCGGACGTGCTCCAGGCACCGGAGCTGGGCCCATGGAGGACCATCAGGGTGCAGAGACCCACCTGCAGCCCATGGAGGAACCCATGCTGGAGCAGGTGGATGCATGAAGGAGGCTGTGACCACGTAGGAGGCCCAGGATGGAGCAGGGTCCTGCTGGAGACCTGCAGCCTATGGAGAGAGAAGCCCACACTGGAGCAGGCTTTTCCTGGGTAAGACTTGTAGCCCCTGTGGGGGACCCACATTGGTACAGCTCATTTGTGATGGACTGAACCCCATGGAGGAGTGACCCATGGGACAGTAGCTTGGGAAGAACTGTTGCCTGTGGGATGGACTCACACCGGAGAGGTCTATCAAAGACTGTCTCCCGTGGGAGGGACCCCACGGGAGCAGGGAAGGACTCCCCTCCCTGAGCAGTGGCCGAAAGAACAACTGACTGTAACCCCCATTCCCCGTCCCCCTGCACTGCTGGGGGGGAGGAGGGAGAACATGGAAGGAAGGAGGGGTGGGGGGGAGGTGTTGTTTAAGATTATTTTCCTCTCACTCTTTTGCTCTGACCCTGTTTAATTCAGTTAATACCCCCACTTTGAGTCTGTTTTGCCCATGATGGTGATAAGTAAGTGACCTCTCCCAGCTCTTATCTCAACCCATGAATCCTTTGCCGGTTTTTTTTTCTCTCCTCTGTCCAGTTGCAGAGGAGAGTGAGAGAGCAGGTGTGGTGAGTACCTGACATCCAGCCAGGGACAACGCACTACAGTTGGCATTAACACAGGTGAGCTGTTCCTCACCACATAGATCAACTGCTGCCAAGTTGCACAAGTCCAGTGGCAGTGCTTGCGAGTTGTGCTAGCTACAAGAGGAAATAGGAAGTCTTTCAGCAAATTTGATCTGGAGGTCAGCCTGAGGGGAGAGCAGCATTTTGATTTTCTGAACAGTTGTAGGGTTCTGAGATTCAGCTTTCATGGGAAGAATATCTGAACCATCATATTTCTAAGTGAATGAGACCTACTCACACTAACATCAGGCTCTCTGTTAGATACATGTGACTCCCTCAGCAATGGTGCTTCAAGGTTCAGACCTGCCCAAAGCAGGAATAACTAAATGCAATCCCCCATCCTTTCTCTCTGAACTAGTAAAACTTACTCGATTATATAATTTGCTTGACCTAGAATTTTGGATTTGGGAAGTTCATCTGTAGTTTAGGAGATTTGTATTCTTTACCTTGACTGATTCAGACTGAATCTCACCTATTTGAATTGCTTGAGAACTCTGTATCCTAACAATTTCACTTTTTTTTTTTTAAATAACAGTGATCATCCAAATTCTTTTAGTCTGTTTAACCCAGTGGCTAACACTGAACAGAAATAAAGCAAGCCATCCTCAAGGAGAGTGCTTACACTTGCATCAGTTCTGATAAGTCAAACCACATATTTATGCAAACAGTCATTCCTGAAATATACACAGGAAATTAAATTGTTCACCCAAGCTACTAATAATTGTGGAGGAACAGCAAAGGGCACCCTGGTCGACTATTGAATATGGAACTATGTGAAGTGGTCATTATCTGTCCTGAGATAAAGTTGATGGAGCTACCTAGAGTATAACTCTCAAAGAGAGCCAGCCTAACCCCTCCATTCTGCAGTACTACCTCAGCTTCAGTTGTGATGTTGTTCTCTAAAACCTAGTAGTAGTCTGTAACCCTGGTAATTAAGCCTTCCTGAGAGCAAATGTATGTTCTCTTTTCCTGGTTCTGCTGCATGCTTCACTTGTTATAACCCATTTTAACAGCCCTTTCAGCTGCATTTAATCTTTTGAGAAGTCAGATTGATTTTTATTCTGGCTACTAGACAATTGCTCAAGATCATACATTATGGACAGTCCCTCACTGTCATCTAAGCCACTGCTGTAGTGGTGGCTGTTTTGTAACATAAAAGCCCAGCTGTCTGCTGCTCTGTGATAAGTGCTAAAAATGGTACATTGCAATCCAAGCTGCTGTAGCATTATAGCCAAAAGAGGATTACAAATGGGATGGCTGCTGTAAGGAGAGGCTATATACAGTTGCACATATGCACTCCGGTGATTCTTATCATGGGAGTGCAGAACGGCATTTTCACTCTTAAGAAATATTTCTCTCCAGAGTGTACTGCTGCTACCTTGCTGCCAATTATTGTTTCCTGGCAATGAACAGAGACCATATGCTTTTAGGCCATGACATTTGATTAATGACTCTAATACAGAGTCACCTGAGGAAAGAGTGGTGCCATTAAAATGACCAAAAAGGAGTCAATAGCTGTAGCATTGTCTCCTCACAATATTTTGTGAGAAAGTGAGGGAAGGAAGTGAAGTAAAATAGAAAGGAATTAGAGCAGGAGAATAATGATCATAGCTCTCTTTACATAGCTCCCCAGAGGTGAGGCATTTGACAGCTTTTGTATGGACGAGGCTATTCCCTTCCCCCATGCAACAGCCTCCATCTGGTTATATATCACTGAAGTAGGCTGAATCGCTGCAATGAGAAGATGACATCCATATGCAAACCTAGGGACATCTGAACAGAAACATTTGTAGTCTTGTAACTTGAACCTCAGACAAGGCTGTAAATACAATTCTGCTCCTGGAAGACATTCAGAACACCATGATAGTCTTGAAGGGCTTGGGGCTGATGTACAGTCCTGCTGCTAGCTCATGACCTGATCTTTCTGGTAGTTTTAACAACTCAGCTTTAACAACCCAACAAGTTGCAGAAGTAAATAGCAGCAAGAATAATTAGCATCTTTATGTAGCAGACTTAATAAATATAAAATAAGAAACATGTAAGCATGAATGTAGAAGTTTGAATTCTTAATTGAGTTTGATAAATACAGACCAGAAATAACTTGGTCTGTTAAACCTGGAGAAGAGGAGACTGAGGGGAGACCTCATTGCAGTCTACAACTTCCTTGTGAGAGCAAGAGGAGGGGCAGACACTGATCTCTTCTCTGGGGTGACCAGTGATAGAACCTGAGGAATGGCCTCCAGTTGTGTCAAGGAAGGCTTCGGTTGGGTATTAGGAAAAGGTTCTTCACCCAGAGGGGGGTTAGTTCTGTAGGGATAGGTACAGTTTCAGAAGAATTTGTGACAGAAAGCTAGAACTCGATTTCCCTTCAGAAGACTGTAAAATGCCTTCTCAAATGGGTTGGATGTTTTTTTTCCCCTTCCTTCTGCATTTCCGAGTAAGTTGCAGGGAGAAGCTGTGAGCAAGGGATCTCCCTGGTATGCCGAGAGATAAGGTTTGCAGACATGTACAAGGCCTCCTGGGGCCACTGAGGGTGGGGTAGGAGAGAGAGAAAATACAAAAAGCCTCGGAGAAGGCGGGGCATGACCTTTTGCCTCTGGTGGCCGAGTGCATGCAGCATCCCTGATAAGTGGTCTTGCACCTGAAAGAAAGCTTTTTGTAATCCTTCCACTGCTTTGGCATTCTTGGGAAGAATACCTGAGTATGTTTTACCTTAGAGATACTGGAAGGGGCTACTCCAGGAAGTGGCCACAGCACCAAGGCTGCCAGAGTTCGAGAAGGATTGGCATGATACTCTCAGGCACATGCTGTAACTCTTGGGGATGGTCCTGGGCAGGGCTAAGGCTTGGTCTCAGGGATCCTTGGGGGTCCCTTCCAACTCAGCACATTCTGTGGGATTCCGGGTGATGTCCTTGCCCCCAAGCCCTGAGCAGGAGGTGCCGCAGCTCCACCTCAGTGGCGGCTCTGCCCCCTCAGCAGCTCCAGGGGTACCCTGCTCCAGGGGAGCCAGCAGCTCTTGGAGCCCACCAGCTCCAGGGCTGCCCTCAGGGTTCATCACCCTCTCACACATAGCTCAGCCATGGGATCCACTCAGCTCACAGACACATCCCTGCACGTATCACAAAGGCTCTGGCAATGCAGTGGGAGCTGCTACACAAACCTGCAGCTGCCCAGGTTTTGGGCTGCAGGGAGTGCCAGAGTGCTGGTGCTGGTGTTGGACGGCAGCAGAGGCTGCAGCTGTGGAGGTGTGACCAGGTGGGAGATCTGCTCAGCCTGCTGGTGGAGCTGAGAGAGGAGCTAGAAAGGTTCAAAAGTGTCAGGGAGGAGGAGATGCACTGGTGGAGCCCTACTCTGGCCTCCCTGAGACAGTAGCAGTCACCCGAGAAAACAAAAGATCAAGAGTGTCCTGCATCCTTCCCCCACAAGGCTGCAGGAAGTAGATGAAAAGAAAGGGGAGAATGGAGGCCTCCTGCTGGGGGCAGGAGGCAAAAGCCCTCCTTCACAATCACAGACTGCTTGGTGTTGGAAGGCACCCTAAAGACCATGGAGTTGCAACTGCCTGCCCAAAGGAATTCCCAGAGGAATGCCCAAAGTCCCAAGGTCCGCAAAAACTCCTGGTATTTTTGAAGTAAATTCCATACTTGGCATGGGTGGTGGTATGTTAGTGTCTGAGCTGCTGTATAAGCACACAGCAGTGGGCTTTGGGAAAAGGGGTAGGGTGCAAGGTAAGAGAGGAATTAAAGAGGCGAGGGAGAGACAGAGAGAAAAAGGAGAGAGAACTCCCCAGGCACCCCCAGCCGCAGTCTGGCAGTATGAGAAGCAGAAAAGGCCTTGACACAGGGGAAGCTCTGCTCAATCTTTCTCTTTATTTTCAAGTTTGAAGCAGAAAGGTAGAAAAATAGAACCCCATGTTGAGTAGATGAAGAAAGAATATTTAACACTATACTGACTACCTATCTTAGCCTAACTACCCCAGAATAAACGACCCCTTGGGAAAGCACTAAGTTAAAATCCAACCCCCTACGACTATAGGGCCATACTAAGCCAAAATCTACCCAAGCCTAAAACAGCCCTTGGAAAAGCAAAAAATGGAAAATCTAACCCCATACTTTATCTAGGCCTATCCTACTCTAACACTACATCAGATTAAGGCAGCCCCGGGAAAGCTGCAACTGCCTATTCCAGGAGCAGGAAGGTGCCCGGGCGGCCCTGCTGCAGTGCCAAGAGCAGCACAGCGCAGAGCCGCACCTGGCCGGGGCCGGTCAGCAGGAGCCTGCAGGAGCGGGAGGAGGGCAGCAGCCGGAGCTGCCAGTGGTGCCACTGAGGCAAACGCTCCCAGGCTGATTCCACCAGTCTGGGCAGCCAGCCGGCGACCTTCTGCACCTCCAAGTGGGAGTCTGTGCAGAGGGTGCGCACGAGGGGCGAGTGCTGATGGTTGTAGGTGGGGTGGACAAAGCAGAAGATGTTCCCCGCCGTCCTGGAACAGGAGCACTCCAGCAGCACACGGATGGAGTGTGGCACGTCCATGGCCTCGGGCAGCTGCAGCCGGAAAGAGTGCCAGGGGGGTGGCCTGAGGAAGAGCACCAGCTGGTAGAGGGTGCAGTGCCCCAGGTCATGCCAGGACTCGATGCAGGAGCCCTGCTGCCCAGTGGCCAGGTGCAGCTCTGGCATGAAGGTGTTCTGGGAGAGCACCTGGCACACCTCCAGGAGGTCCCGCAGCAGCTTCTTCAGGGTCTGGCCCATGAAGGGCAGGTCCTGCAGCGGTGACAGGCTGAGCGCTGCAAAAGGCCCGCCAGCAGCGGCTGCTGCGCTGAGCTCTTCTTGCTCACGGCGCCGGCGAGAGGCCTCCTCCCTTTGCCAGGCCAGCCAGCCCAGCACAGCTGCTGCAGCCAGCCAGAAGAGCCAGTGCTGCAAGATCCAAAGGAGTGGAACATCGTCCAGGGCCCTCCTCCACGCGACTTCCTCCCACAGCTCCGTCATCTTCTTCTCCACAAAAAGCGCACGCTCGGTCATCCGCCGCGCGCTGACCGCATCGCTCTGGGGATCCTGTGTCGTCTTGGGCAGGATGGCCAGCACAGCCAGGAGGAGCACAGTTGCTGAATCCATGGCCTGCAGGAGATGGGAGACAAGTTTCCCCAGTGGCTCGGGGCGGGAGGGAGCACGGGGATGAAGGCTTGAAGGGAACGCAGCCCCTGGCTGCAGAGCAGGCACAGGGCCCATCCTGCCCCAGCCGGGACCCTCCTTGTCAGGCCCTGGCTGGGCTGTGCCCCGGCAAAAGGCAAGAGGCAGCCGAGCAGAGTCTCTCCCCAGGCCCCATCCCCGCCACACCACAGCGTCCCGTGGAGCCGGGAGCAGTCGGCCCATCCCCAAAGGCTCTTTGGGCACTTGCCAACACAGAGAGCCCTGAGCACCTGTGTGCCAGGCCCCAGGGGCACAACTGGGCCCTGCCGGGAGGGACTCAGCTTTGGCTCAGGGTTCCAACCACCCCCCCTGGGCATCTTCCCCCTCCCCCATCCATCCCAGCCTTGCCCCTGCATCTGCACTCACTGATCGCCCAAGTCCAACTGCCCTGGCGCTGCCTGCTGTGCTCCTTAGGGACAGCTCCCATTGTGACCTGTCTGCTGTGATGTCACAGCCACCAGGGACACATCAGCCGGCCCACGAGCCCCGCCCTTCATCCCCACCCCCCTGCTCAGGGGCTTCTGGGCATCCTCTCCACACTCAGCTCCAACTCCTCCTCGGGAGATCCCGGGGGGTCTCTTGGCCAAACGGACAAAGCCCCAGAGCCACCACAGAGAGCCCCGAGCCCCCCCGAGACAGCCCCACTGGCAGAACTGCGCCTGGCCCCACGGGGCTTCCATCTCTTGCTTTGGCTTACAAAGCCCCCTGGCCATTTGCCCATTCTCCCATCCAGCCCAGCCCAGCCCAGCTCAGCCCAGCTGTGGAAGTGAGCAAGGAGCTGCAACCATCACAGACCAAAGATTTCCCTGGCTGGCAGAATCAGAAGGGGACTAGGAGTTGCCAAGGAGCCTTGAGATGGTGCTAAGCTTGGCTTAGCTTGAGCCTGGTCTTCTGGAGGCTAAAGTTTGGAGTGTGCCTCGGCAATAGCAAATAAACCTCGCCAATGGGCACAGACTCGGACTTGCCTGTTCTCTTTATTCCTAAGGCCGAGCGGCCTTGAAGAAGGAAAGGCTTTGCGTAAGACAGAAGACAGTGCCTCAGGGATACTGTGGGCTGTGGAGATGGGAGGTGCAGCTCTAGCTTGAGCTCCCAGGCGGAAGTTTACCTGTCACCTCGAGAGCTCAGTTGCAGACCCTGAAAGTCCTGACGGGACAGAGCAGGCCTACAGCAGGCCTTCCTCTGCTCCGCCTGGTTTGCTTTGAATTGCTCCGGCCGGGTGGACGGTAGAGCTCCTAGACAAACGTCATGGCTTTCCCAGGCCTGCCACAGAGGTGGGCTTGGGAGAAGTTTCTAGTTTTGCTGATTGGTTTTGCTTAGAAAGAACGAGCTCCCACAGAGAGACAGGGGCAAGAGACTCTGCATGGATCAGCCCGGCGAGAACAATATTGCCAGCGCCTCCAGACAGACACGGGAGCTTGCGGAGAGAGGCTGCGACCTGAGTCCGGTTGGGGACTGTGCAGCTCCAAGGTCCTCTGCAGATCCCAAAGCTTTGGCAACAGAATCCAAGTCCCTTGAATTTGACAGAGCTGGGATGCTTCCCTCTGAGCAGCCGGGGTACAGCATCTAAGACAGCAAGCGGGTGGGGCAGTGCAGCTGCCGCTGTCCGGGTGGACTGGCTCCCTGGGCACCGCGCATGCTTTTGCTGTGCCTTGTGCGCTGCGAGCAGAGTCAGGAAGGCAGAGGAGATGAAAGCTCCCTCTGCTCTCCCCAGGCTGTGTGTGAAGCCAGTGCTGCAGCTGGGTGGGAACAACGGGCACAGCGGAACAGTGGGCGCAGAGGAGCCCATCCTGTGGGTGCCCCGTGCGTGTTTGGAGGACTTGTGCTGCACTCTCTGCCAAGATGGGCTTCTCGAGTTGCTGCCTTTCAGGTGTCTTCCACCACCCCCAAGGCCTTCTCCAAGAGGGAAAGCACTGGACGTGGGCTTTGGGTTTCGGCCTTGCGCTCTGAGTGACATCCGGCCGCACCAGAGCGGTTTGTCCCTCACCAGTGCGGGTGGGCAATCCCTGCCTCCCAAGCTATGCGGGCCGGGGAAATCCTTGTAGAATTACCACGCAAACAGTCGTGTGTGATCGTCTCTTTCTTTTATTTCTGCTCGGGGCGCAGTAGATCCCGAGCAGCTGCGCTGTGTCTGCACCTGAGAAGGTTCCCCGTGCAGTTGCTGCTCTGCTGCTGCCTTCGGTCTCAAGGCTCCACGGGCTGTTCTGAGCCTGATGGCTTGTCCTGCTGCCCCAGGAGTGCTGGAGCAGCCGCCTCGAGAGGGCCTTTGACAGCAGCAGGACTCCACGTGCCTCAGGACTGAGGCACCTTGTGGGGGATGCCCTGCTGGCTGAATGCTTGAAGGTCCAACCAGAAGGACCGGGACCTTTCTCTCACACTAGTCCAGGTTTCTCCCTTTCCTAGGTGCTTTCCCCTGGGCCTTTGCACACTGTTCCGTTCTGTCTTTCTGCTGCACACCGCCCAAGGTCATGTCCAGCTTAGAAACTGGGCGAGGGAGCTGAAAGGGGGGCCCATCTGGGTTCCGCAAGGGGGGTGTGGCATGGCTCAGCTGTCGGTGAGCCGCTCTATTGGGCACCACTTGTCTGGGCTTTTTCCAAATAGAGTTACTGAACTCTACTTGGCTTTTTGCTGGAAACCTTTCTAAAAGTTTTGGGGTTGAGTTTTTAAAACTAAATTGTTAGTCCTAAACTTATCTATTTTTCACTTATAATTATTAAACTTAACTAAAGTTATACTTAAAGCTATTATGAAACTAGGGTGGCGGGGAAGGGAAGGGGCTTGAGGGGGTGGCTGCTGGGGCTTCATTTGCAGCTGGGATTAAAGCAGGACTGGGGACATGGGGAGCTGGGGGTTAACGTTATCTAACTTACTGTTTAAAGTTTTATAAAACTAAATTCTTATTAAACTGATCTATTATTAAACTAGTTATTGTTCTTCTTATTATTATACTTAGGAACTAAACTTACTTAACTTACTTATTAAACTTAATCCTAAACCTATTCTAGAGGGTAGTCCTAAAGTTAATCTTTGTCAACTTCTGTTGACAAAGTTGGAATTTGGATTCTCGTCCCCATTCCACCAGGGTGGCGGGGAACGGAAGGCAGTTGAGGGAGTGGCTGCTGGTGCTCCATTTGCAGCCGAGCTTAAGGCACACCAGGGCACATGGGGAATTGGGAGTGGACAGAGCCAGGACTGCTGCTCTTCAGTGCAGTCAGCACAAGGGTCTGTTGTGCCGTGCCGACTGGGTGCGCTCCCAAGTCGCCGCGCAGCCCCGGCCCAAAGCAGCCCCCGGGAAAACTGCGACTGCCTATTCCAGGAGCAGGAAGGTGCCCGGGCGGCCCTGCTGCAGTGCCAAGAGCAGCACAGCGCAGAGCCGCACCTGGCCGGGGCCGGTCAG